AGCTGTCCAGGAGAGAGATAATAAAGGCCTAAATTAGGGCTGCAGGAGCAGAGAGGAGGGGTGATATAAGGCATGGGGGACAGGCGCTGGGCCCAGCACACAGAGGGAAGGGCACATGGGGTGGAGCTGGGTCCTTGCCTACCCTGAGATCCCCCCAGACTCTGAGGGTAGTGGCCTCACTTCCCTCCTGCCTTTCTCCCACACCTGCCCCATCCTTCTCTGGCCTGTACGTGCTCAGCTTCTCCTCATTCATGAAACCAAGCTGCCACTTCAGGAACTCTGTGGTTAACAAGTTTCTGCAGCATTTGGGAAACAAAAGAGCCTGGTACAGTTCAGGACTCACCACCTATACTGTGTCCACTTTGAAGAGGTGAGAGCTGGCCCACCTGGGTCACCTCGGGCCTGCAAGCTCTGCTCTTCTCTTGCATCAGACCTGATGGGATCCGACCCCTCCCATGCACCATAGTCAGGAATTGTGAGGCTCAGAGAGGGGAAACACAGAGCCACCCGACCAACAGCGCCCCAGGAAAGGCCAAGGTGCCAGGTGGGTCCCTCTGCTCCGCTGCTTACGGCTGGGCCCAGGCGGTGTGCCCCAGAAGATGGAAACCCTCCTGATGGCCCCAGGCAGAGTGGGGCACACAGGTCACGGCCCCAAAGGGGTCAGCACTGATGTCTGAGGCTCGCCTGGTCGGGAAAGGGCTGGCCACCAGCCCCAGAGTCCCAATTCATGTGGCAGTGCAGGGGGAAAAGCCTCTGGAGGGGGCAAGGCTGGCTTCTTCCTGAATCTGCCCATAAAAGGATAAAAGTGCTGCTGTCTGGTCGGCATTGGTAGGATGTCTGATGATAAATTTTTTAAAAGTGTGGATTTTTTTCCTCCTTTGTGTAAGGATGTGTGTGTGCGCGGGTGTGCCTGCCTTCACACAGTCCGCAGCCTGCATGTGCTAACAGATGGGCCCCGGTGTTACAGAAGATAAAACTCAAACTGGAGGATCTGCTGCCTCTTCAAATTAAGAGAGAAAAAAATAAAATAAAAAAGCTCTTCAAGGGAAGCCCTTCTGGTAGAAAAGAGTGGTCCAAAATATTGTCAGGCTACTCAGAAAGGCGGAGAATACAGCAGAGCTATGTGAAAGTGGTTTTTCTCCCTCCCCCTCTGTGACTTCTCCAAAATATATCATCTCTGTGTCAGAAGTAGGCCAAGCTTTAAGGCTATCATGAATTATATATCAAGGGACATCATTTCCCAGGAGTCTTGAACAAATGCCCCATGGTTTAAATTTTGCAGACATTTTTCCCCCAGTGGCAGTGCTTTCTGTCACTGTAGTCTTCCTGGGATGGAATGGGAAAGTGTTTTGCAAAAGGCACAATGAGACATTATGCTAATCAAGGTAATTGTGCAATGGTTGGAAGCCCTTTCTTCCTGAAAGAAGGCTTTTACCCTCCCCACACCGCCCCTGCACTCCAGATACTCCGGCTGCCTGCTCTGGTCTTGCCTTATTTTAGCAGGATTTGGAGACAAATCCTGGGTGAGGGAGGATTGAGGGAGGCGAACTTAACTGGGCACGTCTGTGCTCGTCCTTTAAGGCAAAGCCTCTGCCATTTCACCTGAATATCACATACGCACATGTGCTTTTCCTACCTGTTTATTATTCTGTAAAATTCAAGAAGGGCTTTGTGAAAAATCCTTCTTTTATCTAAAATTGTAAACATAAAAGCATTGGCTAAATTGGATAGGTAGGTTATGGGGGTCTTGGTTAGCACAGGTGCATGGGTCAGAGTTAGCCCAGCACATAGGAGCTGAGGATGCACCATTACCGGGTACAGTGCCCTACAGTGTAGGGCCTTCCAGACAGTGACAGCTAGAGCTTCTGGAAATGGCCTTCTCTGCTCCCTGCACCATATTCTTCCCCTCAATTCATTCTTCTGAGCTGGATGTTTGAAAACTTCTGAGCTCTCCTGTATACAGACTTGAAAGAATCCAGATGTATACATTCTTTATAGAGGCTTTCCATTTTTATTTTTGTTTTTCAATAATCCTTTTATTAATCTTCCCATTTTATCCTTTTTGTTTTGAGACAGAGTCTTACTATGTTGCCCTTTGTAGAGCGCTATGGTATCACAGCTCACAGCAACCTCAAACTCTTGGGCTTACGCGATTCTCTTGCCTCAGCCTCCTAGGTAGCTAGAACTACAGGTGCCTGCCACAACACCTGGCTATTTTGTTGTTGTTGTTGCAGTTGTCATTGTTGTTTAGCTGGCCTGGGCCTGCCTCGAACCCGTCAGCCATAGCGCATGTGGCTGGCGCCATAACTACTGTGCTACGGGTGCCAAGCTGATCCCATTTTATTCTTATACACTTTGGGGATATGGAGGGCTGGTCACATTTTATTTTAGAGATAAAATAATTGTCAGGGCAGTAATATGAGCAAGGACACAGCTGCTAAGGTAGTGCTGTTGTGCAGACACAGACATAAATCAGCGCACACACAGTGTGAAAGGCAAACATGGCAATGCCATCCCCTCCCTAACAAATAATAAGGTAAAACCCAAGGTTGAGAGTGTAGGTTCCTTTGTAAGGACGTGCCCAGACCCCTGGTCTTCTCAGCTCTGACTCTCTCCCAGGCCATCTCATCATATTCTTGCATTCCTGCCGGCCCCAATGACGCCTCAGTCCCTGCACTGGGAACTTCGTCACTCTCATCCATTTTTAATGCCTGTGCCCTCTGCCCGAGCACCCTCCTTCTCACTCCCAGGTCCCACACTTGCCTAGTTTGGTGCCATGTCTTGTCCAGGCTCAGCTCAGGCCCCTCCAGGAAGCCTTTCCCAGGCAGATCCCACTACCTGGGTGGTCTTCAAGATGTATCCTTCATGTGTCCACGTCTGCCTGTCACTTGCCACACTGTATTCACTTGTCATTTCCTATGTTTATGTTTTCTGGTAGCTCATGAGCTATTAGCCAGCATGGGTGAGGGGCCACACTTGTTCTCAAAATCTTCATTCCTAGAGGTGGAAGGGTGCGGGCAGGGTGGACCCTGGTGAATTCTTCTATCCTATTACTGTACTTCTCTCTGAATGCACCCCAGACAAGGACTCCACCCACCAAGGGAGGGTTCGGTGACTGTCCTGTGTGTCATTCAGGTGTATGGCTACATCTAGGTCCCAAGATGAGGTCACGACTGTACCTCATTCATCATCCCCAGCGATCTGGGCCACAACACCATGCTCAGCTGACAGGTGAAGAGAAGATTGATTCCTAGAGTCTGAGGAATCTCATCTATCACTGAGCCAACACAGTCCCAGGTGCAGAAAGCTGGTCATTATGGAAAAATGATTTGGAATCAGACACCCTTCTGCCATTGGCTTGTGTGATCTCAGAAAATTCACCTAGGCACTCCAAGCCTTTGTGCCTGCATCAGTAAAGGAAAAAGAAATGGATTCTACCTGAAGCTACTTTAATAATGAGAGATTATTTTGTACAGTGCTCGGTACATAAAGGATATGCATAAATATTGGCTGTCATTAGTATGAACAAATTTAGTTTTGCAATTCCATAAATCAGAGGATTATCCACAGTATAGCAAAACGATCTGCCATTACTGAGGAAGTCATGGTCTCCGTCCAGGATACTATAACAGAATAGACAGACTGAGTGACTTGAATAACAGAAATTTATTTCTCATAACTCTGGAGGCAGGGCGCTATCTGGTGAGGACCCTCTTCCTGGTTGGCACGTGGCTGTGTCCTCCTTGTATCTCACATGGTGAAGAGAGAGTGTGTTTCTCTCCTGGCTCTTCTTATGACGTCACTGATGTCATTCATAAAGCTCCATTCTCATGACCTTATTCCTCCCAAAGGCCTCAACACCAAATATCATGACAATGAGGTTTTTCTTATATAGAGTCTCACTTTCTTGCTCCCAGTAGAGTGCCATGGTGTCGTAACTCACAGCTACCTTGAACTCTTGGGCTCAAGCCATCCTCTTACCTCAGCCTTCTAAGTAGCTGGGAGTACAAGGCACCTGCCACAATGCCCACCTATTTTTTTTAAGAGACGGGGGTCTCGCTCTTGCTCAGGCTGGTCTCGAACCTGTGAGCTCAAGCGATCCACCCACCTTGGCTTCCCAGAGTGCTGGGATTACAAGTGTGAGCCACCGTGCCCAGACTGACAATGGGGATTTTGGCTTCAACATATGAATTTACAAACATTTAGTCTCTAATAGTCATCAAATTGTTACTTTAATTATTATAACTATCTTCAAAAGACAAGAATTTGTTTGAGGTATGAGCATTGGAACCAAGGAAATCCAATCCATTTGGCCAAGCGTGTTACTTTACTTCTCTTTGCCTGGGTGTCGTGAGACCTGGCTTGCCAGGATGTGGGTGTGAGGATAGTGAGGAAGGGGCCAGGCTCAGCCAATGAAAAAGCAGGGTCTTAGGATGTGGTGGTTCTCAGAAGTTCTTTGCCTAAAGCTGTTCTATTTGTATCCTGTGACGTTGGGCCCTTGCTGGATGGGAGCCAGCTTGTTCTGAGTTCCATGCCTCGGAGAGGGAGTGTAGAGACCTCAACAGAAACCCACTCTCTGACTAGATAAGTGACTCAAGACTGGACACACAAACTGCATTCAAATGAGAGTGAGTAAGAAACTCAGCACAGGCCCGGGCAGCTGGCCTCCTGTCCCAGGCCACGGGCCCCCATCCGCCAATGAAGGGTGGGCAGACGGTTACTCAGGTGGCACCGAGTGAATCTAATGAGTAGTTGAGTAAGTTGTCATTCATGGACCAGGGAGGGCAAAATTATCCTCATTAATCTGCTCACAGTTCTGGTGCTTGAGGAGCCACTGGGTCCTGCCACATCTAGAATTAGCTCTGAGCCCTTGGGCTTTTAATTAGGGAGCTTTGTGAGTCAGAGGGTTTATGGTCAGAGTCAGATCTTCAGGGAGACACAGAGGGAGGTCCTCTGTTTGGTCATCTTCTCCTTTAGAAATCAGCTGCCTCTCCCAGCGCGAGGACTCGGGAGTCGGGAGTCTCGCAGGGGACCTCCAGGAATGGCCTGTGGTTGAGCTTCATTCATCATTTCCGATCTCCAGACCCCTGAGGCTCAGGGGTATTGGTATGTTGAATGTCATGGCTTTTTCCCTTGTGAGTGTCTGGGTGGCGCCAGCCTGGTCAGCTTCTGCTGCCGTCCCCCTCGCTAGCCACAGTGTCAGTGCTTGTTTCTTACCCTGAGCTGTTTCCACTTTGGGTGGTTGGTGCTAAATGCATTTTCAATCCCAAGCGGTGCAGAGAATAAAAGGAATGTCTTTAAAAAAGTGGCTTTGAGTGTGTTGAAAGTAAGGTTGCCTGCTGTGTGTTTTTAACAATTGCTTCCCCAGAGGAGCCTTTGAAAACCTCACCTTTCAAGATGTTTCAACTCCTATTAGAAAGTGACTTTAATAAAATTGCTCTTCTGACCATTGCTGCTGTGGCTGGCAGGCTGGTGACTGTTTGTCTAACCTGAGTCTCCAGGGCTGGAACTTCACACCAGCTCTTCTTGCTACCCTCCCACCGGAGGTGAAGTCATACTTGTCACATTCTTCTACTTGGTGTCACTGGGCAGTGGCCGGGAGGTGGGCACAGTAGAGTGTGGGCTTGCTGAAGAGATTGCATTATGATTTCAACTAGATACATTTGCTTTTCTTATAAACTACTCCTGGGCGCCTGTGCTGTGGCCAGCACCGTGTCAGGGCCAGAGCTGTGTCTTATACATGCACTGTCAACCTGTAGTGTACCTCACAGTGTTCTCACTGGTCGGCCTTGCAGGGTTCCTGGGAGATGACCCAGTTTCTCTTCTTTTTCTTCGGATACTTACGTGTTCAAGGCCCTTGCATATCTTTGCATCAGGATTGTTCAGCCTCAGCATCACTAACAAGTCGGGCCAGCCAGGTCTCTGCTGTGGGGTCTCTCCTGTGTGTCGTGAAGTAGTTAGCCACGTCTCTGGCTAGTAGCACCACACACACCTCAGTTGTGACAACCAGACATGTCAGCAGACATTGTCAAATGTCTCCTCATCACTTTGCATTTTCCAAAGTGCTCTTATGTCCTTTACAGATGAGACAACTTAAAAAATAGGAGGAAACTTGCCCATATCCAACTGTGATGTGGGGGCACAGATACTGCTACAATTGAGATCCATTTGGCGGTGTGCTGATAAATATTTAATATCTAATTGTCTGGGATAAACAAAAGCAAAACAGCCTTGATTAGGAGCATGTAATTTCCATGGTGTGAGGGCTCTCACCGTGGCTGGTCTCACGGGCTTCCCTGACTTGCCTGAACGTGAAGCTGGAAGAAGTATGTGGGGTTGGCTCTGGTGAGCTGGTGTAATAGGCTTTGGGATGCTCTGGGTTCCCGTGGGCTGCTGCTCCTGGATTAGTCTGACTCTCTTCCAGGCCTTCTCCTACCTGCAAACACGTACTCACCACTGTGATGTTCTCTGGGGGAAGTGTCAGCCTGGTAAGAGGAGTTTGATCACCTCTTTGGATACGCATACAGCAGGCAGAGGGAAAGTTACAGAAGCAGTGGGGCAGCACTGGCCTCGGGAATTTCACCATGGGTCTCCCAGACAGAGGGACTCCTGGGCAGGGACAAAGCACCGTGGCTGCACATCAGATCTGTGGAGTGTGAGATGCTTGGGAGATGTCAAAATGACAATGGCCAGTGGAACGTGGGGTACGCCATTCTGGATGTAGGAGAAAGGTCTTGGCTAGAGTTTTAGTCCAAATACGATCTATGACCACTGTGAGGCTGTAAGAGGAGAAGTGCCGATGCCCTTCCCACTGTTAATGTCAAAAGCAAAGAGTTCTCTTGTGCCTGCACCTCACATACCTTCTTGCTTCAGATTCCTTGCTTGGTGGATGGGCCGATGGTCTAATAGTGTGAGCTCTTCAAGCCTAAGGGCTTAGCTGGTCTTGATGTTTTCACCTTGACTGTAGTTCAGTGGCATTTGCTCCTAGTTATCTGTGGTCCAGCATTAGACCTGGGAGAGCCTGGGACTAAGGGAAGAACCCTCAGCTTGTTATTCGGAGATCTGGGTTCCCACTATGTTTGGTGTCACTGCATTACATAATCTGCGGGTGTAGTTGGTCTGAATGGAAGGTAGATAACCCCAGGGGAGGGGCGGAGCATGGTGTGGCTTTGGATTTGGCCATGAAGGTGGTGGGAGCACACAGATGTGTGCTTTACGGAGTTCTTTCTGCAAAGTTCAGGGCCACTGCCCAGGCAGGATGAAGCCACTTAGGAGTGTGGTGCCACAGTCCAGTCAAAGGAGGAGGCAACCCATGGGTTCTAGGTGCTGAACAGCACACAGAGAAAATGCTATGAGAGTTTGCAAAACGAGAGTCCAGTGTGGACCATAGTTAGTAGAGGTGACTTTGTGGAGGATGTGAGACCTCTGGTGGCCTTGAGGGATGGTAGAAAAAGGGGAGATCAAAGTTTAGGCTGCAGGACAGGGCAAGAGAGCACAAAATTAGCTGAGAGCTTCTATGAAGGATGGGTCTCGCTTAGTGTGGACTTGTTTATGGAGGGACTCAAGCCTGAGGCTTAAGACCATGGATTTTGTCAGAAAATGGTGGTTCTCATGTGGAAAGTGCACTGTCCTGTGTTAGTGTCTCTGGGAATCCGTCCTTATTCATTCTTGTCCACTGTCTCCCACTTCTTTTTCTCCCACAATAAGATATGGGGTGCCTGAGGCCCCGATGGGGGTGCATTCACCTCCTGCAGTCCTGTGTTGTTGGGGAGCAGACTATCTTGCATCTTGAGGACGATTAGAACCTGAATGTGGATCTATGACTCCTGATTTGCCTACAGCAGGGAGCCCAAGACGGAGAGCAGCTGTGCGGTTGTCTTCAGCAATTGCGAGTATCTGTCTGCCGAGGCCGGGGTGACCACTGCCAGCATTGTAGATTAGCCGTCTCGCAGCTGTCACAGGTATGTCCCCAATCATTCCTCATGACGACGCTGACTCTGTCCCTGCTTCTGAGGATGATGGAAGTGTCTTGTTTCCCCCTTTTTTTTTTGTTGAGGGGTTCTTTGGTTTTTTCCCCAGGGGAAAGGATGACCAGCGGTGGGGTGTGCAGGTGAAATGAGATCGGCGCTTTCCATGAAGTACTAAGAAACGGAGTGTTCTGGAAAGTGGATGGGCTATGGTCCTTACCTCTGAGGCCCACATGAGGACACTGAAGCTCAGAGGCATGGAATAGCTCACTGGAGGTGACACGCAGGAATAGGTCAGGCAAGAACCAGGGACCAGGCCCCCTCTGCATGTCAACATGTTCCTGACGGTTTGGGATGGGGGCATTTGTGGGCCGGGCATTCCATCACTGTGGGATTTTTATCAGAACTCTGCCTTGTAATAAAATCACTTTCTTAAGCTGCAGTATGTAAGATCAGTTACGTTCTTACAGAAGCACTCCACGGAGGGCTGCTGTGGGCATCGAGAACCCCAAGTTCCGAAGACCACACAGCTAGAAAGCCCTCTACGG